AATGCCCTAAAATACAATACCTTTAGACCACTCTCTCCCCCATAGACTCCAGTGCTGCGAGCATACTTCATCCAGTTCTTCTCAGTCTTACCCCCACCCCAATGGCCTTTCTTCTGAGATGCCCCTGGTGGACCAAAGCCACTAGTTTTGGGTTAGCTGAGAACCCATGGCCTATTTGCAATGCTAGACACTTCCATGGATTACTTACAGTATTTTGGGCTGCTCAAATGTATGGAAATTACTTTTCTGTTACTAAAAACATGTTTTATGTATTATTAAATCTTATAAATTGAACTTATCAAAGCTATAAATTAAAATAATTTCCCCCTCTTTAAACCAATGTATAGAAAATAAGTAGAAATATCAGTAATCTCATTTTCCCTTTGTTCCTTTCAGTACTAGCATTTGAATTGGGATACATTCAGTTCGAACTGAATGTCTACAACTGTTAATCATTTGTACTTTCCTTTATCAGCATGATGGAAGTGGTTCAATGCATGATATCCAACTATCATTGTTGTCTAGTCCCGAACCAGAAGATAATGATCACACATACAAGGTATGTAAGTAATTCTAATAATAAACAGAATTTATAAACTATAAACACATATAATCAAAGTAATTATGTAGAGTTTTTCAAAATTCTTTTATCAAATAATGAGGTAGTAACAGTTAAAACATTAATATCTGAAAGCTTTCTTACTTTAGTTTTAAAATTATTTAGGTATGTATATAAAATTTTTATTTTATTTTGGTTTACTTACAAATTTTGTGTACATTGTTTTTCACATCGGATCTTTCCCTTTTCCTCTACCCACTCCTCCCTCCACGTGCCAAATTGTGCCACCCTATGAATTACCCTTACCCCTACCCATTCTCACCCCTCTGTTTCTACCCTTGCCCTCTTAGATCCTCATACACATTTTACTACTTATCTATTTCTATAATAATGGTCTTATACAGTATTTGTCCCTGAGTGAAACTGAGTTAGTTCACTTAGCATAATGTGCTCTAGTTCCTCCCAAGTTAGGTAATGATTTACAAAGTCATTACTCTTGTGTGCTCTGTAGTATTCCATCATGTGACTGTATCATAATTTCTCAATCCATTCGATTGTGGTTGGACATTTGGGCTGTTTTCATGTTCTTGCGATGGTGAATAATGTTGCTGTGCTCTTTGATCTAAGTCTCCATTTGTGCCTCAGTTCTTATTCTCTCATGGTATATTCCAACCAGTGGAATAGCCAGATCATATGGAATTTCTCTGTGGCCCCCAAAACATGTTGATTCTCTTGGTGCTGCTTTGCTAGTGGTGAAATTCTCAAGTTCTGCTGCTGTAGCCACTCAGTTCCTTGTGGATAA